CCCAGCTCCTCATAAATGAACCATGAGGGATGAGGAAATGTTTTCAGGCTGATTTTCCCTGACAATGCTTGATCTGAAAGGGACGCTGCACATTCCCTGAGAGTTTTCTCTGTGATGGGACTTGTGAAATACCAGAGGCAGAACTCAAAGCCAGCCCTATCTGCCCCATCTGCTGCAGCCCTCGTGTTCCACATACAAAACAGGAAGGGGAAGCAGCAATTGGCTCTATCAGAACAGCATCTCCAGCCAGAGTGGCTCTTTGTTCTCACAGGTTGAAAACTGTGAAAAAAAAAACCCAGCCAAGGAAATGCAGCTTTTCAAATCAGCAGTTCAAAGGTTTTTGATGATAATGGCTTTAACTTTTTTCTGAGGTGACCTCAGACACTCGGGATGCTTTTCCTGGCACCCAGCACTGCTGGCCTCGGAGGTGTCCCGTGCCTGGTGGAGCCCATCCCATAATGACTCTGGAAGTGTACAAGTTCAAGCCTTCTCTTTCATAAAACCACATGTAGAGTGTGACCAGCTGACTGCAGATGGGCTGGTTCCTGCTGGGTCCTTCACTCACCAAACCACAGCTGAAGGATGGCTCAGGGTCCTTGTCTGGAGCTTTGGCCTCACGAATCATCCTATGATTGAAATATCCTTTCCAGAAGTTTTCTTTGGCAGAAGAACCTGAAGTGTCTGTCCTCTGTCCTGAGATCCCCCCAAACCTGGTGTGGATCACTTTAGGGAGGAGTGGAATTGCAGCTCCAGGAGCTGTGGCAGCGGGGACAGCCCTGTCCCTGTCCCCACCCGGTGGCAGCTCCACTTCCCAGAAAAGGCCATGCAGACTCTCCCTGTTGGGATTTTGAGAGGAAACCCTGTCAGTGAAACAGAAACAATCAGTTACCCCTGGATGATGCCTTTGGTCCTTCTTAGAATTGTCATCCATCTCCATCCCCACCTCTTTTTCTGGGCAGAAATCAGCAACATTCTCCAAATGTTCAGGATAACAAGGGCTGAACGTGGTCCATGCACTCAGTCCTGGCAATAATTTATTTTATTCATCTCAGCAGAGAAAGGGCTTTATCCCACAAAATGCTGACTGGAGACCATGCTGAAAGTGTCCAACTATGTCCCTGTCTTCCCTCAGTCCTCCTTCCTCAGCAGCCACTCAAAAAGTTGTATTTGCAGCAGGATTTGATGGTCTGAGTGACAAGGGGTGAAGTTTTCCTTCACAGGAGGTTCCCCAGCTCTGGTTTCCCACCAAAAACATGGAATAGGGAACTTTGTTGGCCTCATGGCTTGGGATGGAGCAGCTTCTCACAGCTGCCAGTGCAGGTCACTCATTAATATCAATCCTAAACACCAAGGGGAGATGGAGGCAGTGTTGGAAGTGTGACAACAACTCAGGTTCCCTCTGTTGGAGCTGGGTGCTGATAACACCAAGGGTTTGACCTCTGGATAAGCCATTCCCTTAAAAGTTGGACTTGATGTTCCTTGTGGGTCCCTCACAGCTCAGAATATTCTGTGATTCTGTGGATTCCCTGTGTTGAGTCCAGGGAATAAAGAGACCCAAGTTTAGGTGAGAATAAGGGATGATCCTCTGGAGAAGCTGCTCCCACTGGGGAAAAGGAACTGATACAGCAAAGGGGTTCCACACCCTTGGCAAGCAGCAGAAATGACTTCTGCAAACAAGAGGAAGCAGATGAGGAGGGATCCAAAGCCATCCCCCAGCAGCTGCTGACAGCCCCGTTCCTCTGTGTGGTTTTGTGTCACCCAAACAGCGACCCAGCCAGCCCAGGGCTGACCCTGCCCGGGATGGCCCTGACCCAGCACTTCCCAGGGCACAGCCCCCTGTTTCAGAATGACTGTGGGCTGCTGGCCTCCAGGGCACAGAATTTATTGCATTGAAAGGCTCTTCACCTCCACTCACACTGGGGGGAACCCCCAAAACTCCCCTTTCCCTCTGCTTTCCCACCCTGTGCAGTGGAAGCTCATCCCTGTTCCAGGGGCACTGTTCCAGTGCACTGCCCTCATTAACCCCACCAGGAGCTTTCCATCCTCCTTCCCTCTGGTTTTTTCTGGTTTGTTTTTTTGTTTTGTTTTGTTTTGTTTTGTTTTGTTTTGTTTTTTTCCCCTTCTGCTTCCTCCTGTGCTTTATTCACTTCCAGGAGGGACATTCCTGGGATGATGACTGAAGCCATGCACATTCCAGTTGTGGCTGGCTGAATCCAGCTGATCAGGGCAGGCAGAAGTCTCCGTGCCTGATCTCAGGCATCACCACAGTCCTGCTTTTCTGGAGAAATCCTGCAGCTGACATTGCCCCTGGGAGTTCCCTGCCAGTGTCACACAGCCCAGCCCACTCCAAATACCTTGGGGCAAGTCTGAAGCTGGGACGCCATCCTTATCCCAGGAGATTCCAAGAGAAAGGAGTTATTTGGGAAGTCACAGGAGAGGAAAGAGAATGCAACATTGTTAGATGTTTGTTTCTTCGCAAAACCCCACCTTTCTGCTCTCCCCATCCTAAACAGCCAGAGTGGAAGTTGCCAGTGCTGGAGGGATTTTTCATTCGCTCTGGGAAGTATTTAGGCTTTTAGGAAATTGTCTGGAAGTCCTGCAGCAAAGAGATAGCAGTGTGCTGGATCAGTGGCATTCAGGACACTTGAGGAAGGACTCAGCTTTCAGAATCTGGTGCCATTGGAAACTTCCTGGAATCTGGCAGGAGTTGCAGGAATTTGGGGTCCATGGGGAGAAGGCAATGGAGGATCAGTCAGTGCTAAGTGACAAGCCTAAAGCATGGTCAGGCTTTTCCTAGATTTGGATGATCCCAGACAGATTTCCAAAGCCTCATTTGTGTCTTTATTCCTTATCCCATTTTTCTCTGGAAAGGGAATCGAGTTACAACCCCAGCATCAAATTGCTCTTATCAGACCTGATGGTGATCGCTTTGTTGGGGTTTTCTTCACCCTCATTCCTCTGGGAATTCATCCAAGACTCATTTTAGGAGTCCTCCCCTTGCTCTCCTCTGGATCTCCTCACATGTTGATATATCAGGGAGGTACCGCAGTCCTGCCTCCCCAAATTCCCTGTGTCATCTTTGCCCCATCGTGTCAGAGATGAGTTCTGAGCTCCTCCTGGATTCAGCATGGAAACCCTTCCCACCAAAACTCTGGCTGCAATTCCAGCACATCTGGAACAGCAGCAGCCTCCTCAATCCCACACCAACCACAGTCTGACTTTGCAACTAGAAATCTTCCTGTTCTTGAAAGTGAAAGGCAGAAAAGAAAAAGGAACAGAAAAAAATATAAAGAAAAGAGAAAGAAAAGGAGAAGGAATAACTGAGTGGCAAAAAGCAGAAGGAATGGCCAGAAAAGGCAGCAAAAAAGCAGAAGAATGGCTGAATAACAGCAGAGTGTGCACCACAATTAAAACAAACTCCAGAGGCACCTCCCAGCACAGAAGATTGCAGGCAGTGCAAGGAATTGTCAGTCTTGCAGGCTTTTGGAACTCGAACCTTGAAAGTTTTCAAAATCAAGTGGGAGAAAGCCCTGAGCAGCCTGGTCTAGATCAGCTGGAGTTGCACTGGAGATCTCCTGAGGTCCCCTCCAGCCTGGACCATCCCATGATCCTGCCATTTGACTGTTCCCAACATGCTGCCAAGCAGCTCCCGGGAGCTGGACAGGCTTCCTGGGCACGGGAGGGTGAGGAAGGGTGGGAAGCTCTTGGGAAGGGCACAGGGAAAAGGTGCATTTCCTTCTCACACACCTTTATTGTTCATGGAGAGCGAGATTAAAGAGAAACTGTCACGTCCACAGCACCGTGGCTTTGGAAAATCCAAAAGCAGCCATAGGAATGGAGCTAGGACAGGAAAAATGGCTGGGAATGCTCCCAGGAAGTCACACAACAGCAGCACCGTGGGACAGCTGTGCTGGTGTGGCTTCACAGCTTCACAGAAATGTGGGGTCACTGCTGCCAGCCCCTGGGACAGAGCTGGACAGGCTGAGCCTGGGGACATCAGCAAGGTGGGAACCAGGGATGGCCACGAGGACAGGGAGATGTCCACGAGGACAGGGAGATGTCCACGAGGACAGTGACCCACGTGGTGAGTTCAGCAGGGCTGGCTTTAATCATGGAATGGTTTAGGTGGGAAGGGACCTTAAAGCCCATCCAGTGCCACCCCTGCCATGGGCAGGGACACCTTCCACTGGAGCAGGTTGCTCCAAGCCCTGTCCAACCCAGCCCTGGACACTTCCAGATACTCCAGTGCCATTTGGAGCTGTTCCCACCATGGATAAAGGTTTCTTCTCCCAAAGGATTCCCCACTGCCTTGGAGAAGCCAAGAGCTGCTGAGTCCCACCACCCCCTGTGACCATCCACATTCCAGTCAAACCTGGGGATGGGAGAATAGAAGAATTCCTCAACTCCTTGGCAAAAGGTGGGAACAGCATATTATACATCCTCAAAAGAAAGTCAATATAATAAATTGAAAATTCAGAGTGGGACAGCCCACTTAAAATATTCAAAATTGAGAAAATTTGATATAGCCATGGAGTTTGTTTGGTTTGGTTTGGGGGGTATTTTTTATTTTTGGTTTGGGTTGTTTTGGTTGGTTTTTATTTGTTTTTGGTGTTGTTTTTTTTTTCCAGACAAAGCCACAGTTGTTTAAAAACAGATAGACAAATATAGAATATTTTGATATGCTGGAAGAATGGAGCTTCGTGAGAATTCGTGAGAATTCTGTTTTCCCTCTGATGAGACCAACATCAAAAAGTCTCCTAAAAGCTATTTCTAAACAAGGTTCTTAACACTGATGTCAGAGGTGAGCTCCCTGCCAGTTACAAGCAGGAGTAAAATACTCACAGAACAAACACAGGGAGGGGACCCCGCCAGCTCCCCCCAGACCGGGGGGGGGCTTGGGCACGGCTGGAACCTTCCAAGTGCTGTTTTCTCGGATGATGGGAAAACCCTGGAAAAGCTGAAGGTTTCGGGGTCCCGGTGGGGCCAGGGCGGAGCCGAGGGCGGGATCGGGGGCGCGCCCCGCTTTAAGAGCGGCGGGAGCGCGCCCGGGACAGATCCGCGCCCGCTCCGACCCCGCAGCGCTCCGGTAAGGGCTGCACTGGGGCTGCACTGGGGCTGCACTGGGGCTGGGGGTCCCGGGGTCAGGGGTGGGGGCTTGGCCTAGGTGCCTCCCGCTTGTGCCGTGTCCCGGTTTGAGCCGCTGGATCCTCTCCGGAGCGCAGCCGCGCCGCTAATGAGCTGCGGCGTTAATTAGCGGCCGCGATGATCGCTCCGTCCCTGTCCCGTGTCCTCGCTCCGTTCCTGTCCCGTGTCCCCGCTCCGTCCCCTCGCACAGGGGGTCTGGGGCTTGTGAGGGGAGTTTGGTGGTTTGGGGCATTCCCGTCCCTCCCCAGACGGGGAATGCAGAGACCGGAGCGCTCCTCGCGATGGGGATGCTTCGTGTCTGTGCTTGGAGCGAACGACAGCAGCGGCTTGGTGCTTTTGGGGTGTGTGATTAAATTGAGATGCTCCGAGAGCTGGAATGCCTCCGCTCTGGAGCCAGGCTGGGAGAGCTGGGGGTGCTCACCTGGACAGCAGAAGGATCCAAGAAAACCTTAGAGCCCCTTCCAGAGCCTGAAGGAGTTCCAGGAGAGCTGGAGAGAGACTTGGGACGAGGGATGGAGGGACAGGACACAGGGAATGGCTTCCCAGTGCCAGGGGTAGATGGGATATTTGGGAGAAATTCTTTCCTGTGAGAACCTGGCACAGGGTGCCCAGAGGAGCTGTGGCTGCCCCATCCCTGGAAGCGTCCAAGGGATCTGGGATGGTGGAAGGTGTCCCTGCCCATGGCAGGGATGGAATGGGATGAGCCTTAACGCCCTTTCCAGCACAAACCAGTCTGTGATTCTATGACAAGCTATAATTTATCTGTGCTGCATCAGAGTGGGAGAATAGCAGTAGTTCAGGGGTTTTGCTCCCTTTGGGAGCCTTTTCTCATCCACTGCGGTTCCCTTTCACTCAGTGAGCTGAATTCACCAGCACACAAATAATTGGTTCAGTGAACCACGACTGTACAAATAAAAAAGTGACAGAAGGAATGTTTGTCTTCAACTCATGATGCAAATGTAAAGCGTCAGCTGGGAAATGCTCTTTTATGGGATTCTTGTTGATTTTTACAGAAGCATTTCTGGGTGTGATGTTCTCTCATGCTTAAGCAGTCGGATTGCGAACATCAGTTTCCTTTTGGTTGCAAAACTCAAATTCTGTTTAGAAATAGACTAGATAACAAGTCTTGCTTGTCTTTTGGACACATACCTCGAGTAGTTGTTTAAATTGTGGGCTGGTTGCTGGAGTTAAGGCCATAATGTAATAAAAGCATTAAAGATCTTTGACACATGGACTGGTGGCTTTGTTCAGGATTTCTAATGAACATCACTGCCTCTACCCTCGGGTGGTGACAGTCCCCTCACTGACACCTGCTCAGCTTTCGCTCATTTGTGCATTGCAGATAATCAAAGGACTCTTTTAAAAGAGTACAAACACCAAAAAATCTGAAATTTAACTGACACCTGGAAGCCTTGAGCATCCCAGAGCAGTTCTGAATTCTGACTTCAGCAAGTCCTGGGGGCAAACAGAGAATCTAATAAAGCCAAGTTATTTGTATGGGTGAAAATATATTTATCAGCAATTTTGAGCATATTCATGGTACAGTTGTGGGTTCTCATGGCTGATCTTGACTCAGCTTCTGCTTTTGTTGTTGTTGTCATGGTGTCCTGTTATTTCAGCTGGCCCTTGTCCTACAGTTCTGGTCTCAAGCTGCAAGGGAAGTTCTGTGTTTAAACCATTAGGAACTGAAAATCAATCAAAAAATAAAAAAGAGGAGAATCAGTGCTGAACAGTTATTAGGGTCCAGGACATTACTCCTATTTTAGATTCCGTAGTGGTGTTGTCACCTTCGTTATCCATCTTTGCTCTTTTGCTGAGTAGCTGCCTCAGTGTGTGAGTTAAGAGATTTTTTGGTAATTTAATGCCGTGATGTCTTGGTCTTGAGTTGCACCAGGGGAGGTTTAGATTGGACGTTAGGAAAAATTCCTTCACTAAAAGGCTCATCAAACCCTGGCACAGGCTGCCCAGGGAGGAGCTGGAGCCATCATACATTCCAAAACGTATGGATGTGGCACTTGAGGACATGGATTAGTGGTGATCGTGGTGGTGGTGCTTGATGGTTGGACTTGGTCCAAAGGGTCTTTTCCAGCCTTAAGGACTCCATGGTCCTCTGATATGATTCCATGACTCTCTGCCACATTCTGTCACTCATAACCAGTTGTTGGTACCTGGTGAAGAAAGGTGGATGTAGTGGGGACGGGTCAGATCCACACCCCTTCTCAACTCTCTCCTGAGACAGGTGACAGATTTTTCCTCTTACTTCATCACGGATATTTATGTTCCTGTCCTGCTTTACCTCACCTTCATTTCCCCCCCCAGGCCTGACACCATCCCTGGGGAGCTGGTGCCTCAGCCGGGCACCATGACAGCACTGTCCCCCAACCTGTCGTGCCACCACCACTCCATCGACGACTTCCGCAACAGCGTCTACTCCACGCTCTACTCCATGATCAGCATCATGGGCTTTGTGGGGAACGGCGTGGTGCTCTACGTGCTGATCCGCACGTACCGGCAGAAAACGGCCTTCCAGATCTACATGCTCAACCTGGCCCTGTCCGACTTCCTGTGCGTGCTCACCCTGCCCCTGCGTGTCACCTACTACGTGCACAAGGGCAACTGGTTCTTCAGCGACTTCCTGTGCCGCCTCTCGTCCTACGCGCTCTACGTCAACCTCTACTGCAGCATCTTCTTCATGACGGCCATGAGCTTCTTCCGCTGCATCGCCATCGTCTTCCCGGTCCGCAACATCAAGCTGGTGTCGGAGAAGAAGGCGAAGTTTCTGTGCATTGGCATCTGGGTGTTCGTCACGCTGACGAGCGCGCCCTTCCTGCGGAACGGGACGTACCAGCTCGGCAACAAGACCAAGTGCTTCGAACCGCCGGAGAACTCCCAGAAGACAAACATGGTGGTGATCCTGGATTTGATCGCCCTCTTCGTGGGCTTCATCATCCCCTTCATCATCATCACCATCTGCTACACCATGATCATCCGCACGCTGCTGCGGAACTCGCTGCGGAAGAACGAGGCCAACCGCCGCAAGGCCGTGTGGATGATTGTCATCGTCACCGCCACCTTCCTGGTGAGCTTCACGCCGTACCACGTCCTGCGCACGGTGCACCTGCACTCGCTGCGCCTGCGGGGCCCCGGCTGCGGGGACACCGTGTTCCTGCAGAAAGCTGTCATCGTCACCCTGCCCCTGGCAGCTGCCAACTGCTGCTTTGACCCCCTCCTCTACTTCTTCTCCGGGGGAAACTTCCGGCAGAGACTCACCACGCTGAGGAAGGCGTCCTCCTCCAGCTTGTCGCAAGCCTTCAGGAAAAAGATCTCCATGAAGGACAAGGAGGAGGAACCCTTTGGAGAAAGCCAGAGGGAGAACGGAAAGGCAGCTGTGGCTCCTTCGTAAGGAGGTTAAACTTTCCCCTCAGAGCTCTGGTGGGGGGATGGAGATCTCTGAACTCTTCCAGAAGATGGGATGGAGGCTCTCGAGCCTTCGTTGCAGTTAAATAGCTGTGGACAGTCGCTGGTTTGTGGTGGCAGAGCTGCTGCTGGGGCTGGGCAGTCCCTGGGACCCCCAGAGCCACGTGGGACAGAGCAGCCACCACCAGCAAGCTGTGGAGCTGCTGCTGAACTCCCCGACCCCTTCCAAGGCTGCATTTGGGCATTTGCTTCATTTCACAACTTTCCAAGAGCGTTAATTCCCCGAGCCAGCGGGAAATGTACACAAAGCTTGCGGCGCGTGGGGAGCTCCTGATGAACAGAGAGGGCAGAGTTTTCACTGGAACTTCAAACAGCCGCCAAGTTATTGACACAGCGAGGCCAGGATAATTCCTGCCCTGCTCCCAGCTGCCTCTGGATTTTGGTTTTTATGATCATTATGTGTGTTTTAGGCTCCCAGGGCTGTGCCTGGGTTGCAAATCGGGATGGGCCCCTCTCTCACCCCCACCAAGCAGCCCAAGAGGCTTTGGTGGGCAGCAGATTTGCCAGTGTTTCCCCAGTTTCTAGAAAAATCCGTGGGATCAGTTGTAGAATTGCAGTATTCTACTGTGCAGGATAACTTAGGAATAAGTATAAGAGGAAGCCTTATTTCAGTGGGACTGGTCCTGAAGTGATGGCTGCAGGATTCAGAATATCACTCCAGTTTTTGGGGAAGTTTTAGGTAAAAGTAGAGCTCTGCATGCTTGGAGTCAGATTAGCCTTTCTCAACTATTGGCCAAGGGTATTAAATTAATGACAAATATTTGAAAAAGCTCTCCAGGATGTTTGATTCTGTTCCAGAGTATTCACCTCACCCACACCTGGCAGCAAAGAGGCAACATGAGACCCTTGGAAAGACTTTTAGGAAGAGCTGGAGATTCAAAATCTGAGTCTGGATGAGATGTAATGCTGAAAAAACATTGGGCCGTTTTTCTTCCTTAAAGAAAAACTTTAAACTCATGGATGGAGGGAAACATTCCTGTACTTTTCCAGGGGATCTGCAGGAAGGTAGCTCCAGCTCTGCTGGAGCAGAGCCCAGCCGGAAATGTGTGACACATCCCGGCAGAAATAGAAATTCTTGTAGGATTAAACCTCGCTGTTCATTTATCAACTCCTTCTCCAACTGAAAGTGTGTTTGGATATAGTATTTATGAAATTACTCGATGTTATCTTCAATAAAGAAAACAGTTTTAGTAGTGAAGAATAACAGTGAGCAAAAGAAGTTTGGCTTGGACAGGGATCTGCTGGAGAAATTATCTGTACAGATAATTGGAGTATGAATTCTCTCTTGGCACCACAGGCCTAGGTCAGCAAAAGGCACTTAAAAACCCAAATTCACCTGCAGGATAAAAGATGGATGTGAATTTCCAAGGAGATCTGAAATTCCTTTGTTAAATTTGTAGGATAAAGCAGTAGAGGGCTGAAAGTTGCTGCTCTAGAGTAGAGACCCCATAAACCCCCAGGGCAGAGCCAAGAGTTCAAGCCAGAACTGCAAATTGTTCAGGGAAAAAATGTGAATGAATTGGCTAAACCTCATTTTCAAGGGTCAGCACTGAGTATTCCACTTGTGTCTCCAGGCTTTAAAGGTATTGTAAAACTGTAAAAAATCCTCATGGATTTTTATTTGGAATATGCAGAAATAACATGCCCATTCCCAATTTAAATGATTGTACAGTAAAGCTAAGTGTTTATATATATATGTATATATTGCAAAGCATTTTTATTGTACCAGATGTATTTTTTAACCTTTTGCCTTTTTTATTTGAATGAGACAATATTAATGGCAAAGGAAATGGCAGCTTTTTTCTTTTTATTTTATTTTATTTTTTAATGCATCAGGAATGCCTGTTACAAAAAACTACTGAAAACCAAACGAAAACATTGCAAGTGAAATTTTAATTACTGTTTTCTGTGGCTCATTTGAAAGTCTCTGTTACAGATTATTCTTCCCTACAATAAAACTTTATTTGCACAGCACCAGAGTGTAATATTTGCTTAATAATAATAATTTATAATGGTGAAATAAACACTTAGAGCAGCACAGATGTTGCTGAGATGTTTGGGGGAGTTATTTTGCTCCAGCCAAACCGGACTTTGAGGAAGCCCAACTTCCCTGGAGCTGCTGTTTGGGGCTCTGTTGGAGCCAAAACACTTCTGAGGGTCCTGGTAGAGCTTGCAGTGGTGGAGCAGTCCAACAAAAAGCAGCTGGAACCTGGATAAATTGGGATGTAGAGACAGAAAATGCGTGCAAGACAGTTGGGGGGGCAGGGATGCTCCTGGTGAGGGGGATTTTTGTCTGTTCTTGTGATCACACATCACAAATGCATGGGAAAAGCTGCTGGGAATGTTTTCACCTTGGAGTTCCCCAAAGCAGGTGCAGGGTCTGCAGGGGGGTGTTGGGTTATAAAGCTCCAGCCCAGAGGGCTGAGGAGGAAAAAAAAAAAAAATTATATATAATTATATATTAATTTTCTTATTTGCCACCTGCTGCGGGTGATAATGTCCCCGTGTGTGCCTTTGCCCTGTGGAAACAGCAAAGTGCCACCCTGGCAGCAAATTCCGGGTAAGATTTGCTCAGGAATAGGAGCCTGGAGAGAAAGCTGTGCTGAGAAACAGGGATTGGCACTGGGATGGGGCCAGTTGGGATTTGTGGTGTTTCTGGGGCTGTACACCGTGACAGGAGCTGGGAGTTGGGACCGAATGTCACCCTGGTGCGGTGACAGAGACACAGAAAAAACGAAAGTGAGTGGGTTGTGTTTTTCCTTGAAACGGGGCTATTTTCTGCTGCAGTTTCTGGTCCAATGGTGTCCCCTAGTGCTGAGCCCTTCCCGGAGCCTGTGGCTGCCGAGGTTTCCTCTTCTCGTTTAGTCCAGCCCCAGTTCCTCTCCTGTCACTGTCCTGTTTCCTCTGGTGCTGACCCCTTCGTTCCTCCCCTCCCACCCCTGCCTGTGTTTTTTTTTTCCACAATCTTTGGGTTTTCCCTCTCTGCCTTCCTTTTGGGTTTTCCTATTTTTCAGGATGGATGCTCCAGCTGGGAAGGACCCAGCCACAGAAGCACTCAGTACCCTCCTCCTGCCTTGGGGTCTAATTACACCCTCGACTTTGCCTAAAAAACTGATTTTCCATAGGATGGCTGTGCCAGTATGGACCTGCAGAGCTGCCACTGGGAGCTGGTAGTGAATACAGCCCTTGGGCACCACCTCCCCGTGCCAGTTTGGCCTGGGTGTATCTGGGTTATTTCTGACCAAACCACTACAGCTGTGAGCAAAAAGCTCTGCAAGAAACTGGTTATCCATAGGGGAAGGGAATGGTCCTGCCTGTCTCCCACCAAAGGAAAAGGAGCTGCCACACAGGCACAGCTGGGGACTTCAGAAATGGCACATGGGACACGCTCAGCCTAATTCCTAAACTGCCTTCCCATAAAACTCCTGCAGCATGTGAGAAGCCAGCAGCCCTTCAGTTTAATGAGTTAATAAATAAAGTCCAAGCACTGGCAATAAAGAGATATTTCCTCCCATTCCTGCTCCAAGCATGATGCCTCCTGCCCCCCCCCAACCCTGAGCATGAATTTTGGGGCTGGAGGGGCTCAATCCATTCCCACTGCCTGGATTCCCCAGGGATCTGTGCACTGAGAAGCTCTGGCTCCCTTAAGCAGGAGTTAATTCCCAAGCTGAATCTTAAATTAGCATTTTTTGCCCAATTTCCACTGTGGTCTGACATTAGGAGAGGGACTTCTCCCACATGGCAGGAGGGAGAACACCAGGCTCTTTATCCTTCTCCTACACAGGGTACGACCTGATTACCAGGGAAAAAAACTAAGGAGCAAAAATGAAGGAAAGCCCATCAGATTTTGAAATACCATCAGCACCAAAATCTCTTAGAAACATTCCTGAAAGCAATAAAATGTCTTAGAAGCATTCCTGAAAGCAAACCTGAGGGATGAAAAGCCCAGCCTGACGCTTGGGGTTACAAATCCCTCTTGGGATCAGCAAGGTTGGGAACTCAACCCTGCTTCTCCCAAACTCTTAATTCCAGCCCTGCGAGGGGCTGAGCGTACAAACAGCTCTGTGGAATATTTGCAGGCTTCACTGGAGGGGGAAATGTGCCTGTTTTGTTCTTGTCAGTGTGGTTTCTTACGCTTCAGAGGAAAGCAGCTGCCCTGGGAGCAAAGCAAGGGCCCTTTGTTAGGTCAATAAATACATTCCTGATGGATCTTCACCAGGTTGGGAGGGATAGAAGGAATGAGGCAGCAAAACCCCACATTTCTGATCATTAATAAAAACTCCAAGTGCAGGACCACTGCTGCAGGTCTCTGCTGGGCAGGCAAAGTTTGGGATTGGCCTCTTAAAATCCCTTTATTTGTGAGGAGCACAACTCCCTGGCGATCTGCTTGAGTTTCATTTCAGCAAGCTGAGGTCATTTGGGTTGTTCAGCCTGGAGAAGAGAGGACACAGGGGAGACTCCTCAGGAGCTGCAGCTCCTCCTGTGGAGCAGCTCCAATCTCTGCTCCTTGTGACAGGGACAGGAGCCAGGGAATGGCTGGAGCTGTGTCAGGGGAGGCTTGGGCTGGATTTTAGGAAAAGGTTCTTCCCCCAGGCAGTGCTGGGCTCTGCCCAGGCTCCCAGGGCACTGCCCCAAGGCTGCCAGAGCTCCAGGAGAGTTTGGACAATGCTCCCAGGGATGCACAGGGTGGGGTTTTTGGGATGTCTGTGCATGACCAAGAGCAGGACTCTGACCCTTGTGGGTCCCTTCCAGCTCAGAGTAATGTGTGACTCTGACAGGCTCCCCACAGCCCCTGAGCCCCCCAGAGACACCTGGAGGGCTCAAGGGCAAGAACCAGAGTGTCACCATGTCCCTGCTGTGGGGACACTCAGGACAGGAGTGTCACCATGTCCCTGCTGTGGGGACACTCAGGACAGGAGTGTCACCATGTCCCTGCTGCGGGGACACTCAGGACAGGGGTGTCACCATGTCCCTGCTGTGGGGACACCCAGGACAGGAGTGTCACCATGTCCCTGCTGTGGGGACACCCAGGACAGGAGGTTCCTGCAGGTGTTTTGTCTGACCAGCCCAGAAGGCAGCAAAGGGCTGACTGGCTTTAGGAGCAGTTATTGCAAAAGGCAGCCTGTGGCTGGACTGTTAGAATTGCATCTGTCCCAGGATCAGAGAGGCTTTATTTCCTTTCTGAGTAACCCTGAGACAGCCCCTTCTCTCTGCCCTGTCCTCCCCACGTTACTCATGGCAGGAAGCTGCTGACGTGAGTGAGGGCTGGAAAATGCTGCACTGCCCTTTCACCACGAATTTTCAAGGAAAACGGAATGAAAAGTTCCCCCAAACTGGCCTTGAGCCGCTGCCTCCTGTCAGCAGCATCTCCTCCCACACTCCCCACCTCCTCCATCACCCCGAACCACCGTGCCAGAGGTTCACAGGGCTCCAGAGCTGCTCTGGCTTCCTCCTCATTTTCCAGTTGGGAAGGGCAGGGCAGCAGCTTCCCAGCACACCTGGAGCAGCATCCTCACCTCTGGGGAAGGCTTGTGGTCCCCAGCTCCAGAGAAGAGACTGGAGCAGAGCTGAGAGCCCTCGGGGAGGGCAGCCAGCCCCAGAGCTGAGGTGGCCCAGACGTGTCCCAGAGCAGATTCCCAAGGAATCCCAGGCTGGGCAGGACTCCAGGGGGGGCAGAGGCTGAGCTCAGGTGGATTTTCCTCTTGGGATGCAGTGTGATGTGTCCAGTCAGGGTTAATCATATCCTGTGGGAGGAAAAAGAGCCCTCAAGGATGTGAACTAATGAAACAGAGGTGCTGAGGAACGGATGTCAAAGCCCTGGGGGACAGTCCTGCACATCCTCAGCTCCTGGGGTAGATCCTCCTGGGATCTATCCGCTCAGATCCCCCTGGGGTCTATCCGCTCAGATCTCCTGGGATCTATCTGTTCAGATCCTCCTGGGATCTATCCGCTCAGATCCCCCTGGGGTCTATCCGCTCAGATCTCCTGGGATCTATCTGTTCAGATCCTCCTGGGATCTATCCGCTCAGATCCCCCTGGGATCTATCTGTTCAGATCCTCCTGGGATCTATCTGCTCAGATCCTCCTGGGATCTATCTGTTCAGATTCTCCTGGGATCTATCTGTTCAGATCTCCTGGGATCTATCTGCTCAGATCTCCTGGGATTTATCTGTTCAGATCCCCCTGGGATCTATCTGCTCAGATCCTGCTGGGATTTATCTGTTCAGATCCAAACTGTGCCACTAGCACCAGCTGATGGTTGAGTTTTCTGCCACTGTAATTAAAACTAAAGCTAATCAATAGAATCTGAGGTTGTTCTGAGTGTCAGCACATGTCCCTGGTGCATCTGCATGTGGCAGAGGAGAGTGGAGCCACTGGGCAGTGCTGAGCAGGAGCCTCCAGAGCCACAGAGAGTGCCACCAATGATTCAGCTCAAATTAAATGTCTAATTATGATAACTCTCTCCCATGGTGGGATTTCTGCTGGTGAAACAACCCCAGCAAATATCCAATATTACAGAGTTTTCGTAAACTCAGGCACAGCCTGCCCGGCTTCCAGAGAGGTGCCCGAGCTCGTGGCCTCCTCCAGCAGCACTGACCCCTCAGCAGAGCTGTATATTTTGATTTTTCCCTGTTTATTTCTACTGGATGTTCCTCTGAAACAACTGTGCTCCAACAAGGACTGCTGGAGGAGGAGGCAGCTCTTACACTCCATACTCAGGGAGGGACAATTCGTGGTTGAACTGACTCTGAGAAGGAAGGTGGGAAAAGTAGAAATATGGTTTATTGGCCACCAAATCTAGAAAAACAGCACAGCCAGGAAAGTATTGCCCTCCTGTGAGCCAAGGAGAGTGATAATGAAAGGTTAAACTGAAGTTTCAACTCCAAATATAATTCTGTTACAAGAAAAAATATGTAAATTCTTCAGTCCCTGCTTTCCCTGGAAAATTGAAATTTCTACAAAATACC